CGGTCCCCAAAAAGATACGTCCACATCCTAACCCCCAGAACCTGTGACTGCTACCTTACTTGGAAGGGTTCTAAGGAGAGCAGAACCATGGCCAGATGGCTGATAAGAGGGATTACCCCAGGAGGCAGACATTAGCATGAGGAGCCTGGACTCCAAACTGAGCTGCCCTGCCCAGGGATGCAGACTCTGGGGGCCAGGCTGTCAGGGTTCAGATCCCAGTTTGGCCACTTCCGCACTGTGTGACCTTGGACAAGTCACTTTACCTCTCTGTGCCCCCATTCCCTCACACTAAAGTGGGTTTAATAATAACAATACCTACAATAGTGGGTGCATTTGATTAACGCACATGGAACACAGGTGCCCAGCTGGCTTGGTCAAGGGAGCAAGCGTCTCTTCATCCCAGGATTGTGAGTTCGAGTCCCATGATGGGGAGTAGAGATTACTTAAAAATATCATCTTAAAAAATAAAATCATGGGGGCACCTGGGTGGCTCAGTGGTTAAAGCCTCTGCCTTCGGCTCAGGTCATGATCCCACGGTCCTGGGATCGAGCCTCACATCGGGCTCTCCGCTCAGCGGGGAGCCTGCCTCCTCCTCTCTCTGCCTGCCTCTCTGCCTACTTGTGATCTGTCTGTCAAATAAATAAAAATAAATAAATAAAAAATAAAATAAAATAAAATCATGGAATACCATAGAGCGGTGCTTGGCCCAGAGTGAGCACTCCACAATTGTTATTATTATTGTTACTGTTATAGCTCATTCATTTCTTCACCTGGAGACATGGCGATGCCTCCCAGGTGTGTCTCCACCCTGACCTCTCTCTGAACTCCCGCCACATACATCCAGTCACTGCCTGGCACTGTCCCTTTGGATGTCCTATGCTTAACACATCTTGGATGGAATGCTCAATTTCCTGTCCCCCCCCATCCCATGTGTTCTGCCCTCTGTCTTCCCCTCTTGCATAATGGGGCCCCCTTCTGTCCACCGCTCAAGACCAGTCAAGAGGAGACCCTGAATCTGTCCTCTAACAGCCACTCCATGATCTCACTCTGGCCCTGGCCACCTTCTGGCTCATCACCTTCCTTGCTGTTCCCCGGACCCCCTCTCAGCCAGAGATTAGTTACGTTTCCTCCTTTCCCATCTTCACTTAGAGTGCATTACACTTACTTACCTCCAAGATAAACCTAGGAGCTGCCCCATTGTCTCATGGATCTCATTTCCCCTACATTCCCTCTGCTCCGGCCTCCCTGCTGTTCCCCAAACACACTAAGCTTGGTCCCACCCCAGAGCCTTTGCACTTGCAAAGCACTTCCCTGCTGGAACATGCTCAACTCTTTTGACTTCTTCAGGTCTCTGCTCAGACATCACCTCCTCCGAGAAGTCCTCCCTAACCACCCTAGTTAACAGGCTTCTGGCTCCTTTTCTCTGTCCTCACAGCCTGTTCTTCACCTCCAAAGCGTTGATACCATTTGTCAGTTAATGAGTTGCTCCCTGACTTTTTGAAGTCCATCCCTCCCTACACAAGCCCAGAAGTCCCATGGGGACAGGAATCTGTCTGTCCTTTCACCATTATATCCCTGATGCACAGGGCTTGTAAGTAATAGTATTACTTAATAAGTATTATTACTTATTATTCCTTAATACTTAAGTATTTGTTTAAAGAACAAGAGGTAGAAAGGGATGGGAAACTAGGGATCCTTGTTTTCTGTCCCTATTTTTTTCTTCACACGAATAGCAGCCTATGCGGCCCACTGTTGGACATCTTGCTCTTTTCACTTAATAGGCTTGAAGATATTTTCTTATTAGTATGGAGACAGAGTTGCTGTATTCTTTTTGTTTTGCCTTATTGAGGTATAACTTACATGCAAGAAAACACACCCGTTTCGAATGTATAGCTTGGTGAGTTTTGACAAATGTTCTCCCATGTAACCACCACCATAAAGCCAGAACTCCTGGGGCACCTGGGTGGCTCAGTGGGTTAAGCATCTGACTTTGGCTCAGGTCATGATCTTAGGGTCCTGGGGTCGAGCCCTGTGTCTGTGCCCCATGTCTGCGCCCGGTGTCTGTGCCCTATGTATGTCCCTCCCCTGCCCTTTCTCGCTCTCACTCTCGCTCTCTTCCTCTCTCCACTTCTTGAGAGCGTGAGAGAGAGAGAGTGCGTGCGCTGGAGCGCAAGAGACAACAAGCCAGGGAGCGGGGGGAGCAAAGGGAGAGGAAGAAACAGACTCCCCACAGAGCAGGGAGCCCAACACCAGCTCCCGGTTCTCAGTTTGGCACTGGTGGGGAGAAGTGTCGTGTGCGCTCCTCTGTGTGGACATGGACTCCCATCTCTCACTAAATCCAGGGAGCAATGGGATGGCCCCCATGGTGCAGGATGGGAGGGCATCTCTTTTTGTTTTTTTCGTTTTTGTTTGTTTTTTTTAGGTACTCTACATCCAACATGGGGCTTGATCTCACCACCCCAGAGATCAAGGGTCACGTGCCCTGGATATCTGGTTTTATAGGAAATTGTCAAGTTCTTTTCCAAAGTGGTCCCACCATTGCTCATGCTCTGAATCCTTCGTGACCCATGAGAATGGGTGGTGCTACGTTGGTTGGCTGGGCCTCAGCCTGTTCTGAAAACAGGTCCCCATGCTAGGACCTTCGCCACTTGAAGCTGGAGGGTGGGGGAATGTCTGAGATCCACTTGGCTTTGCAGGGCCCGGGTTATGCCCCGGATTCCTCAGATTTAAATAACAATATTTCCCATAGTATGGCAGGTGCAGGAGAGTTGGCTTCTTAAGTTTTCCATTCTGGGGCCCAGAGGGACCGAAGCCAACTCCAGGTGGGACCTGGGAAGACACATTTTGAGTGAGCATCCTGGGTGAGTCTGACATGCTGTAAAGCTTGGGACCACTGAGTCTGGGGTGGGGGGCATGTAGGTGAGAGGTAGAAAGAACTTCGGGAGCAAAAAGATGGGAAAGAACAGGTCAGGGAAGCAGGGACCAGAAATCCAGGCTCCCAAAGGCAGCCAAAGAGCAGGGATTATTCCCCTGAGGGCACTGGGGAGCTGTACTGGGTTTTAGTGGGGGAGTGACTACTTGGGTTTGCCCTGTGACTGCATCCGTGTGTGTGGATGCGTGTGTGAGTGTGTGTGTGTGTGAGAGAGAGAGAGAGAGAGAGAGATACAGAAGGGGGTGAGGACCCCAGGAATTCCAGAGATGATGGGAAATGTGGTGTGGAAACCATGGAAGGCCGGGGAGGGGTAGGTGCCAGGTGGAGGGGTGCAGACCCCATTCTGCACGCTCTTTGCTCCAGGCCACTCCCTGCCTTGGATTCTGACCTGGGGACAACTGACTCCCTCATCAGACACTCCTGCTCTGGTTCTGCCCTTCCTCCTCCTCCCTCACCCCTCTTCCTGCTACTCTGGCTGCGGCTATGGGCAAGACAGGTGGGCTGGTGGCCAGCCATGGGTGTGTGTTTGTGTGTTTGTGGTGGCCGGGGGAGTGTCTCCAGTTCTGCATGTGCTCTGAGCTGGGTGAGTGTTTGGGCATCTCCTGGGGACTTCCTGGGGCATCTGGGCTGCAGCCCTGGGGTGCATTGGGTGAGTTACTAAACCTCTCTGTGCCTGTTTCCTCATCTGCAAAATGGGTATGGCAATAGCATCTATTTCCTAGGGAGGATGTGGAGATGGAGTTAATTACTCAGGACCATGCCAGCCCACAGGGAGCCCTCAATTACATGAGTAGCATCATTCGGGCGTGAGCTCAACTCTGAGTGTCCCAGGCATGTGTCTGTGTCTTGCAGGAATCTGGGGCAGGAAGCACGCCTGAAAGCAAAGGGGGTTATCTAGGGCAGCAAGGGAGCAGGACTGCCAGGGTGGCCTCTGTTTCCTCCTCTGCAAAATGGGAACAAAAGCAGCGCCCCACACAACCTTGGTGCGGAGGCAAGCAGGACGCTAGAGCGCATGTTCGCACATGCCTGTCTGCTGTTACCTTTCCTTGGTCAATAAAGTGTGGTAAGAGTGGCGCCCACTTCCCTCTCCATTGCTGGAGGATGCCTGGAACTGGGAAGCACCTAGAACAGCACACACTGAGTACCCAGAAAGCGTTCACCATGGAGGTTGCTGTGGGTGATCCATGTGGAACCCCACGCCCGTGTTTGCTGGGCCGGGTGTGGGATGTGGCCGGGGCAGGATGCGGCCCTGGGCATCTGGCCCTACAGGTTCCTGGTCACCCTACTTCCTCCACACCCCGACCTCTTGCCCCCACCATTGCCCCATCCCTCACTCCCAAATCACCAGGACCTCTGAGGGCAGAGGCTTTGGCAGCTGTGCCCTCTTCCCCAAGCCCCCCGGGAGAGGGAAGGGATACAGACACCCCCCAAAACCCAGGTGGGGTTACTGCTCCCCTATCTGCTGCTATCTCAGTGCCTCCCTGGGGGTCCTCCCATCTCTGTGCCTCTGAACGTCTCTCTGCCCTCCACTTTGGTTTCCAGAACAGGAAATGTCGGGGTCCCAAGGGCGTGTCCCAGGTGATGAAGCAGCAGAGACAGGACTTCCCCCCACCTCCTACCCCTGGATGAAAGTGGGGGTGGGGACAAGAGGGGCTCTTCCTTAATGAGCCTCTTAATCCTGCCACTCCGGATCTTAATGAGGGGGAGGGACCTCATTTGAGGGCAGGGAGCCCTGACATCAGCTCCTTGGTCACACCCCATCCCCCCACCAGTGCCTGAGCCCTCAGCGGGCCCTGGCCAAACTGGGGCAGGAGGCTTGGGAAACCGAACAGGGGCTGGGGACCCGGACTCCTGGGTCCTGGCGGAGGAGATGACCTGCGCTCCTGGTCCGACAGAGCAGGGACCTGGGGACCCCGACTCCTAAGTCTGAGGGTGGAGGGCCTGGAGGCCCAGAGCCTTCCCCTAACACACACCCCCCTCAAACGCCCGCTGGCGCGCCCCGCCCCTCCCGCCTCCAGTTAACCCCAAGCCTGCGGAGGAGCCCGGGACAGTCTCCCGGAGCCCACGGATGGAGGAGGAAAGCGACCGACCCGCTCTCGGAAGCGGGATGGAGGCCGACGAGCCCGCCAGCCCCCGGGAGCCGCCGTCGCCGCCCCCGCCGCCGTCGCCGCCGTCCCCCTCTGCCCCCGACACCCCGGGGACCCCCCAGCCCGAGCAGCCGACGGAGGCCTACGCCCGGCAGCTGCTGCTGGAGGAGTGGAGACCCCCGGGGGGGAGCCTGGAGCTGCCCCCGCGCCTCACCTGGAAGCTGCTCTTCCTGCGGCGGCCGCTCTACCGCAACCTGCTGCGTTCGCCCAACCCCGAAGGTGCGGGAAGGGGGGGGGAAGGTGCGGCACCCCGACCCACCGACAGACCGCTGCCCAGTCTCCACCTTCTGCCACGTGCAGTTCGCTCAGACCGTCTGTCTCCTCATCTTTCTGTCTGCTCCCTCTTGTCTGTTCCCTGGGCTCAACCTGTTTCTCTACACCCTTTCCTGTCTCTTCTGTTATTCTGTCCCCCTCTGTCTCCTTGGGGCTCTCTCTTCCTGCCCCGCATCACCCTCTTTTTCTATGTCATATGTCCCTGTCTCTCCCGGTGTCTCTCTCTCTCTCGTCCTGTCTGTCGGCCTCTCTCTCCCTGCCTCCCTCCACATGTATTTCTGTCTCTTTCTCTAGTTGCCTCTCGCTCTGTCCCTCTGTCTCGGTCTCACCAGCACGCCCTCCTCCTTGTCCTCCTTCCCTCCTTCTTCACTGCACCATTCCTTTGCCCCAGGACATTCTCAGGACTCTCCCGGGCCCTGACTCACACATCCCTGCCAGGCAGGTTGGTCCTGGGGCAGATTCCCGCCCTTCCAGCAGAGCCCTGGGGGGAGGGAGTCAGGCCCAGGCTGAAGGGCTGGAGGCAGTTTCAGCCCGCCTGAGGCTCTGATCCCCCGGTGCGTTTCAGGCATCAACATTTATGAGCCAGCACCCCCTACTGGTCCCACCCAGCAGCCCCTGGAGACTCTGGGTAAGTGCTTGCGGGCTCGGCCCATGGGGTGTGAATGGCCCTGCGGAATGGGCAGGTTCTAACCCTCTGCTCCTCCACCTGCCAGGCAACTTCAACGGCTGGTACATTAGGACCGAGAAGCTCCAGCATGACTGCAGGTGGGTGGCGGAGACCCCTGGGGCCCTGCCCCAGTCTCTCACCTCAGGGCCTGGAGAAACTGCCTCTGTGCCCCTCTGGGCCTCAGTTTCCTGCTCTGTACCCAGGGTTTGTCATAAAAGAGAACATTCCTAAAACACAGTGCAGGGTCTGGCTGGGCCCAGCTTGCATATAGTAGGTGCTCAATAAATAACCGCTGTCACCGTTACTCTTTTCCACCTCTTCCCTGGGAGGGGAAGGCACCCAGGCCACCATCTGCCCTCCATTAAACTGAGCCCTGCTTCTGCAGGTTGGGTGGGACAGAGTCACACATGCCTGGGTTGGGAGCCCCGCTCTGCCACTTCTTTGCTGCCTAACCTTAAGCAAGTGACTTCCCTTCTTGAGCCACTTTGTGCGTCATGGGGTTCAGACCATCTGGCATTCAGGGGGGAAAGGAGGGAGCTGAGCCTATAAGGGGGGAGTAAGTGCTCAGGCCCCATCCATGGGTGCCCTTGGTGTCTCCATGAGGGCACTATGATCGAGGTTTCCTGTTCCCAAGAATCCTAGCAGCTACCAGACCTCACCTTCCCCATGGCCTCTCTCACAGCTGGACGGTGAAGCAGCAGTGTGTGGACCTTCTGGCCGAGGGCCTGTGGGAGGAGCTCCTTGACGATGAGCAGCCAGACATCACGGTCATGGACTGGTATGCGCCTCTGCCCAATCCGCCTGCCCCGCGGGGTCATGCACAGGGCTCCCCAGGGCGCCAGCCTCACCTGTCCTCCCCTGGTGTGAGCTTGCCTCCTGTCATGGCAGGATCCAGCCCCGCCTACTGTTCTAGGTCCTTCCCTCTGAGACTTCCAGTTTCTGAGATGCACCTCGCTGGACATCGTTCCTTCATTCTTGGATGCTTCTCCTCCTCTGCTCTCTAGACAAATTCCTCCTTATCCTTTGGGATTCTGCTATACGTGGCTCTGCCGGGAAGCCTTCCCAGACCAGCCCCCAGCTGGCTCAGAAGCCGTATGCTCCAGGGCTCTGGGCTCCCCCGATCCAAGCCCTTAGTGTTCCGGATGGTCACTGTCTGGTGACAGGTCTGCTTCCCACACCAGGCTATATGACTCCCACAGGGGCACTGTGGGGGGCCGCCTTGGTCAGGGCTGTGTTGCCCACACTAGCCATCCCAGGTGCACAGAGTGGAAGCCAGTGAGCGTGTGTCGCACGGTGTTAGGGCCGGGGGACGAGGTGGGGACACGAGAGCTGTGGTGGCAGCTGAAGGTCTGGACCCTACCCCCAGGTACGAGGACAGCCGGCTAGACACGTGTGTCTACGAGCTGCACGTCTGGCTGCTGGCAGCTGACCGCCGCTCAGTCATCGCGCAACACCACGTGGCCCCCCGATCCTCTGGGCGGGGCCCCCCCGGCTGCTGGCTCCAGGTGAGGCTCTGCCCTGGCCACCAACCCTGGCCACGTGTCCATGTCCCAAGACCTCAGAGAGGGCGGAGGTAGGAGAGGAGGGTTCCCGGGTCCCTGATGGGACTTCTCCCTGACCCCGCTGCAGGTGTCCCACGTCTTCCGCCAGTATGGCCCTGGCGTGCGCTTCGTTCACTTCCTGCACAAGACCAAGAACCGGAGGGAGCCTGGCGGGCTGCGGCGGACAAGGGTGACAGACTCCTCCGTGTCTGTGCAATTCAGGGAGTGACTGGCTGTCCAACTCCCAGCCTGTTCTGACCCTTTGTCTCACTGGTCCATAACGTGTGATCCCTCAGCACCTCCCTGATCTCTTAGCACTTCCCTGACCCTTTGCATCTCCCTGACCCCTTAATATCTTCTTGTTCCTTTATCCCTTTGGACCGCTTAGCATCTCTTTTACCTCCCTGACCCTTAGAAGTCCCTGGCCCTTAGCACCTCCTTGACCCTCAGGAGTCCCTGGCCCTTAGCACCTCCCTGGCCCTTTAGCTCTGCCTTGTTGTCTCACACACTTCCCCGATGTGTGGAGAAGCACCCCCGCCCCCTGTTCCCTTCCCACCTTCATGACCCTTCAGCTTCTCCTTGGTCACTTACCACCCCCCAGGCCCCTGCTTCCTGCCTGGCCCTTGATTTCCCACCTGACATCTTCACACCCCCTTGAATGGCTGACTGGCATTTCTTCTGCGCTCTCTGAGCCCCGTGAGGGCTGAGGGCAGCAACCGCTTCTTCCCAAGTTAGTGCTCCACAGACAGAAGGTGCCTCGTAGGGGCACCTGGGTGGCTCAGTGGGTTAAGCCTCTGCCTTCAGCTCAGGTCATGATCTCAGGGTCCTGGGATCGAGCCCCACATCAGGCTCTCTGCTCAGCAGGGAGCCTGCTTCCTCCTCTCTCTCTGCCTGCCTCTCTGCCTACTTCTGATCTCCCTCTATCAAATAAATTAAAAATTAGAAAAAAATTATTAAAAAAAAAAAAGAAGATGCCTCGTAAATCATTGCTGATTGGTGAATAAGTTCACAGGCATGAGGATGCCGAGCATTTCCCTGGTCTTTGCTTCTCAGAATGACACTGAGTTCATATCCCACAGGCACGTCCTGTAACCCTTATCCTGAAGCACCTCGCAACGCCCGTGCCGTGTGCACCTCCCGCCACGACCTCTGGTCTCTTAGCCCCAGTTTACAGCCTCTTGGCCTTTCCACTGACCTCTCTGCTCCAATTCTGTCCTCTCAGATGCTCTCCACATTCCCCTTCCCCCTCCAACCCCAAATTCTCATCTCCCCCAGAGCTGGTCCCCATACCTCTCCTCCCCACAAGACCCCCCATTCCTCCAGAGTCCCCCCAAAGCCATCAAGATCTCTATCAAGGGCCATAATCGCTGGGGATGGTGGTGGAACAGATGATAAACTTGAGCTACAATTTTTTTCATGTGTTGGGGGAAGAGATTGAAAATCTGTAACAACTGCGAAGTCCCGGGCTCTGGCCAGATCCAGCATGAGACCCTGGTCCTAGCCTGGGGCAGGGTCTTGACTGCCTCTTGATGTTCCAGGCCTGACTCCTGAGATGGGGCTGGAGGTCCCTGGTAGGCAGAACAGCTTGTGGGGAGGAGAGGGATTGAGGGATTCAGGGAAGGGTTCTCTACCAAAAAGTTCAGGGAAGCATTTTAGTGGTATCACTGCATGTCGCACACATGTCCCATGGATGTATATCTTTGTGCCCACCTAAACGGATGGCGGAATCTCTGAGTATGAACCCCCCTCCAGCATTGTCCCAGGTATAGGCTGATGCAGGCCTGACCGCCCTGCTCTCTCCCCCACCCCACCCCTGTCCTGTGTGGAGTTGGGTCCCAAGCATGAGTAGATGGCAGACAGGGATAACGTCACAAGGGCTATATTGCAGGGAAGGCGGGTTTCGGGGGACAGGCAGAAAATTCTCTCCTCCTGGGACTTGGGGACTTCAGCAGACCCCAGAGACAAGGCCAGATGAGGAGCTCTGCACCCTGTGGGGGTTGGAGAAGAAGTATCCCTAAGGCATCAGTAACACCTGCAACAGAATAAAAATGATCACTTCCGGGGGGGGGGGGGGGCCGGGGGCTCAGAGATCCAGAGGGGGGGGGGGGGGCGGTTCTAAAAGGCTGAGATGGGGTGGAGGGCTGGGGCTGGGCTCCAAGCTCATGAGCTAGGTGTCCTGGGGGCCCTTGGAGCTCTTGTGGAGGGAGAGGGACAGGTGACGTGGTTTTGAAGAGTACTAGGACTAGATTTAGGGTCCCACGTTCTGTGAGCTCCCACATGTGAGTGCACAGTGGGCTGGGTGGGGGTGCCCAAAGTTGGATCTGGGGGCTCCAGAACCTTAACAGGGACTTTGGGACTGGTTTCCAGGGCTGTGCCTGATCTAGAGGGTCTACGTGGGAGGGAACATGAGGGTAGATAGGGTGTTCCTGGAACGGGGTCTCGGGGTGGGTCAGTTTAGAGTCTGGGAGTCCCAGAGCTGGCTCTGGTGGCTCCGGGATCTGGGACGGACTGGGTTTGGTTCTGGGGGCTCTGGGGTGAGAAGGGTGGCTCCCCATCTGCAAGCTAGGCCTAGGACAGCAGCTCTGGGTGGGTCGGCAGGTGGAGAATTCAGGAAGGTGGGAGGCAGGTGCTCCCAGAATGGAGGCTAGAGGGCTAGAGGGTGGGGTTCCTTCTGAGTGTGGGAATCCCGGAGTTGGGTGCGAGAGCTCCGAGGGGACATGGGCTTGGGGGAAGGGATGCGGGTAGGAGAAGGGGGATCTCCAAGATTGGTCCTAGGGACCCCCAGTGGGGGTCAGGGACCAAGGGGTCTGGGAGACCGGCTCGCGCCGCGGACGCGGAGGAGAGGCTGCGGGCGGAGGCGGGGCTGGGCGGGCACCTGCAGTAGAGCGACGCGATGGTGTTGGACCAGTCGCCGAAGATGCCCTTGCGGAACTCTTCGAGGCGCGGGTAGGCGCCCGCCGAGAACTTGCGCGTCTTGCCGGCCTTGCCGCGGAGGGACCACACGGTGATCTCGCAGCGCGGGGCCACCACCAGCGAGGAGGCGACGTTCGTCCAGTCAGAGGGCAGGAAGGGCAGGTCGGCGCCTGGCTCCAGCGACAGCTGGGCGCCCCCGCAGCAGTTCTCGTAGTAGGGGTCGCTCTTGTCGTAGAGCCTGGCGCACGTGCGCGTCCCTTCGGGCTTCTTGAGGTCCGCGGGCGTCGGGCAGGCCGCTCGGACGCCAGGGACGGCCGCCAGGGCCAGGGCCAGCAGCAGGGGGCAGAGCGGGGACATGGCGACACTGCAAGGCCGCGTCCCCGCGCGCTTTTATGAGCCTGGCCCGTGGGAAGGGAGAAGCTGCGAGATAAGGACGCCCTCCCCACCCCCCACAACCCTCCCCGGAGCGGGGAGACCTTCCTCACCTACGTCGGAGACCCGCAGCCAATGAACCCATGAGGGACATACTTGTGTACAGATTAGCAGCTTAAGATTTCACGTGGCAAACATCTAAAAAAAAAAAAAAAAAAAGAAAGAAAGAAAGAAAGTCAATTAACAGGACTTGAGGACTAGTCTTTTACAATACAGAAGGGAACATAGGGTTAATAGTATAGGTAAGAAAAGCTCTTAAAAACCCACAGGGATTTGAACAACCCCCTTTCCAAATAAGGAGATGCCATTGGAGGTGGAGGCGGAGGGAGAGGGGCTGGGTCTCCAGGTTGGGCAAGTCCCCCGTTGGGACACAGAATCTTGGGAAAGGAGAAGCTGGAGATAAGGAGAGAGAGGCCCCAGAGGGGAGCGGAGAAAGGAGAGGAGAGGAGAGGAGGAGATGAGGACAGAGATCACACTACCCTCAGGAGCAGGAGAGCTTCCCAACCAAGGCTGGAAACCCAGAATCTGTGAAATAGACATTTGCACAACTCTTAAAAACCACTGCAAGGCAATGTACAAAAGGCTTGGGCGGGACATTTGCAACACTGGGACAGGATATAATTAATAGCTATCATATATAAAGAGTGCTTACAAATTGACAAGAAGATATCAAACAATCCCCCCGCCCCACTCGGCCTCCAAGAAAGACAAGCTTTGGAGGGGGAGAGAGAAGGAAGAAGAGGGTGCACCCCCTACTCCCACTTCCCAGGAGCCAGGGGATTTTCTTAACAAAGATTGGAAATCTTGAATTTATAAAAGAAACAGAGGACCTACCGAACTGTATAAAATGTAAACTTTTTGTACAGCAACAAACACAGACTAGACAATTCTTGTAATGCACAATAAACAGTTACCAATTAGTGAGCAGAAATGCCACAAGCCAAAGGAAAAAATTGAGGACCAGCCCAAGAAGGGTTGAGAGGCTGGGACCTCAGAGTGGGACAGGGAGCTGGGCATTTGGGACCCCAGCCAGGGCCCTTTGGAGACTCTTTGGAGTTCCTGGCCTCCTGCCAGATGAGCATTGAGTCAGATATGGATGAACCAATGAGACAAACAGTGATCCAAGTCTGTGGCTCTGTGGGTAAGGCCAAATCTGGGCCTCAGTTTCCTCATCTGTAAAATGGGTGGTATTTTCTTCCTGTACTATAGGGTTGTTAGGAGGATTACAAGGGATCATAGAAAGTACAGGGGGAATAAAGGAACAGCCTCTGGAGCCAGGCTGCCTGGGGCCAAATCCCAACTCCTCCTTGAGCTGTCCGCACCTGACTCCACCTCCGGGCCCCAGGGAGACAATGTGGTATCCACCTCAGGACACTGGTATAGGAGGTAAGTGAGTTAATCCACATGACAGCGCTAATAGTAGGGCCCCTGCCCAGCGCTTTGTGCGTATTTGTCACTGTTGTTATGCCAGCCCTGAGTGTGGTGCTCAGTAAGTGGAAAGCAGAACAACACATCAGCAACGATCTGCTGTTATTCCCTCCTCCTCCCCCAGACACTGTCTCCTGCCTTGGCCAGGGTCATGCGGTTCCAAAGAGCCTAAGGCTGGAAACACTTGGAAGTAGATTTAAATTTTGACTCTGTCACCTTGCTGAGTGACCTCAGGCAAGTGAACTCACCTCTCTGAGCTTCGGTCTCCTCCTGACTTCAATGGGATAACAGAAAAGGATACTAGAAAACTATATAAAGAAATCTGGAACTGGGGCGCCTGGGTGGCTCAGTCGGTTTGGCGTCTGACTTTGGCTCAGGTCATGATCCCAGGGTCTTGGGATCCAGCCCCCATGTCAGGCTTCCCACTCAGCAGGGAGTCTGCTTGAAGATTTCTCTCCCTGTCCCTCTGCCCTTCCCCCACCCTGCTCGTGCTCTGTCTCTCTCAAATAAGTAAAATCCTTAAAAAAAGAAATCTATAACTGACAGGATAAAATATTATTCATAAACATTAGGAACAATCCACATCATTGTTATTCATAAATATAAATACTTAATATTTAATATGGAAAGAAAACAGTATCGATATAAATGCATAAAGCACCAAG